GTTTTTCCCTCTCCTAACTATATTATGGCATTGAAGCAGATAGCAATATCTTTTGTTTATTAAATATAGTGTTTTTACCTGAAAAATTTTAAACAAGGAGATTTTACTGTATGTCTGTCTCTTTACTTCCTCTGCTACCTCTAACATCTATGTGAAGTTGCCTTTTCCACCCTTCTTGCTCAGGTTTGATGTCCTCCTTCCTGGCCCACTTAGGAGCAAGTCACTGGGCTGGAAGCAGTTGATGTGTTGACATATGTAGGGAGGAAGCTCCATTGTACTGCATGTTGGGCCATGAGTTGGATTGGAAGGGGAAGTAGATGAGGTTGAAGACTGTGGCAGCCTATGAGGAAGTAGAGAGTAAAGAATTAGCAGTCCTGGGCTGGAGCAGCCTTGGGAGTTTCAGAGGCAAATCCAGTGCTGCTGAGTTTCCCTGAGCAAGACTGTGACATCCACGCCACTGGGAGCCCACAGCCCTGGGTAGAACTGCTGATCACTTCTTTTTTGGCTCTTCAGCATCTTTTAGTTTTGTTTTCAGGGTTTAGTTCTTTTTTCTTTTAACTGGTTTCCTGTTGTAATGTTTGGATCACTTCAACTGTATTACGTTGTGGCAAATTGAAAAAAGTCAGGTAGAATTTTACCACAAAAAGCAGTGCCTTCTTAAAGTTCTACTCAATGATCTTATAGTTGGAGTGATCAGAGATTGGGTTTTAGTTTGAGATAGTCACACTGATGCTTTTAGGAGGTCCTGGTATAATTCCTCCAGCACACCTTAACTACCAAAGCGTTGATTCTTCTGATTATTTGCTTTGGGGTCTTGGCCTGCTTTGATGCTGGTGGCTAGGGGATGCATAAAATGTGATTAAGCTGTTTTCAATGAAATAGAAATAAATTCATTGTATTTTAGACTTATTTATATGTAGATGTGTTTCAGCTACCACCCAAGTGGTTCAGCCCAAAAGGATTAAAAAGGAATTTCATTTTTCTGTGTCTCTTGATAGACGCTAATAATATCAATCTATAATTCCTGGCAACATCTCTCTTTTCTGCCTCCTCTTGCAACCTACACTTTGTAGAGATTCTTCTTTGCCCAGACTTGCTCTACCCACACTCCCTTTTGTTCTTTCCATTACCTAGGATGACTGAACATGCAGAGGTGGGACTTTCCCTCTCTTTGTACTTCATCAAGCACAGGGACCCTCTCAGATGGGTGCGCACTTCTCCTGGGTCAGGGTTTAGGTAGCTGGGCTAGTGACAGCAGAATTCTCCTTAGCAGAAGGGGACTGTCTGAACCTTCTCATGTCCAAAATGTTACTCTCTCTCAGCTGTATTTGGAAAAATGAGATTCCACTCAGGAGATCACCTGAATTGTTATCAAGATACTGTTTTGCAAGATGTCTGTAGGATGTTTCTTTCTCTTTTATGAATTTTTAAAAACTTTAAAATTTTCTTTTAAAGAGTCTTAATTCTCTTTGCTGTAGCAAACTTGCCTTGAAGATTTACTCAGCTCCATAATTCATAGTACAGCAAAGTCTAAAGCAGGTAGCTTCTCTCATTGCATCTGTCCTGTCTTTGGAGTCTAGTTCCACCACTTACTGGCTGATTCTTCTAGGCAATTATTCAATCTTTTTTTCCCTAACACTTTTCTTTCCTGTAAAATAAAGGTGATTCAGGTAATAAGTAAAAATAATAATTAGTGCTTATTGGGTACTTAATAATGTGAGAGATGTTGAGCTAAGCACTTTGCCTGATGTCTCCTTTGAGCCCTAATGCAGTTCTGAGAGTCAGGTACTCTGTGCCCCCAGCATTGTGATGTAGTGATGGTAACAAGAGTCAACCTGTGGGGGCTAGGGAGGAATTGGGGTACTTTGGATTAGGTAGAAGGGAGTAAAGGGAGGGAAGGGGGTATGGGGGGTAGGAATGATAGTAGAATGAATCAGACATTATTACCCTGTGTGCGTATATGATTGCACAATGAGTGTAATTCTACATTGTATACAACCACAAGAATGAGAAGTTATACTCCATTTATGTATGATGTGTCAAAATGCATTCTACTGTCATATATAACTAATTAGAACAAATTAAGAAAAAGAGTTACCCTGCATTGAACACTTCCTATATACCATGCTCTGTTATGTACTATCTTCATTTCTGGGTTTAGAGATTAAAATGGAGGGAGAGGAAGTTGTTTGTCTCATGCTTCTGTGAGCAGGACCAACTTGGTAACCATTGTATCAGACTCCAAGTCCTCCTTACTATAAGATGCACAGCATGGCTCATAGGAATATGAGATAATCTCTGTAAAATGCTTAGCACAGGGCTGACACATAGCAGTTTAAATTGTAACCATTTTAATTATTAGTGAAGTTATACTTTTTCTTGCTAAAACATGGCTCTTCCTCTCCTTAGAAGCCCCATTCCTGGTACCATTAGCACATAGCTCGTTCTGATCCTATACATGATTATAATGGCCATGGCCCACTCACCCATGACTACAAAGTCCCCTTCCTGCGACCTCCAGATAGTTCCCTGATACCCATACCAGTATCCCCAGGGTACCTTCTCTGGCCTTTCTTGGCTTGAGTTATTTGACCAAAAAAATATGAGAATATACATTTTTGTATATATGTGCATATACAAAATATACACACATATTTTGTGTATACACAAAGTACAGGCTTATATTCTAGGGTTGTTTTCTGGTAAGTTGATCATCTCACATATTTCTGTCCTGGGTATGTAGGTAGGGTTTATTTGGAGGATAAGGGTGAAGGGTTGGGAAATGTGTGTGTGTGTGTGTGTGTGTGTGTGTGTGTGTGTGAGAGAGAGAGAGAGAGAGAGAGAGAGAGAGAGAGAGAGAGAGATTGAAAGCATTTGGGTGCAAGCAGGGAGAGCCATCTTCTATGATAGGTCCCCATGGAGGCCTGGGTAGCTGCAGGAGAGACCTATGTTTAGGGGACGTGCCCTGAGGAGTTAGGTGGTACTTGAATGAATGCAGCAGGTCATATGGTCTGTGACAAATGAGAGTACATGCCCACCGAGACAGCAGCCAATCCCTTCATGGCTGCAAGCCCTCCATGTCCACACACTCAGGAGCACTACTCTGTGGCTAATGGCAGTTGCTCTGAAAATGCCCTTTAGGGAAGAAGAAAGGTGAATAGTGAGAACACACAGGAGAATCCCAATCTCGTGAGTTTACAGAAACACAGCCTGAATAGGAAATTCTAAGGAGGCCGAGGGGGCGTGGTGCTTTCATACACGTGGTGGGAGTGCTGGTAACTGGCAGAGTTGTTTTTGAAGGCAGCTTCTGTGAAAGCCAACAATGTGCACACCCTTTGACCTGGCATTTCCTCTTCTTGAAATTATATTTAAAAAAAAAAGCAAACATGACTCCTCAAGGACTGTTGAAAAGAATGTTTGCCACAGCATTGTTTGTAAAAGTGAGAAGTGGGAAACAGTCCAGACGTTTGTCAGTAAGGCCGCAACTTCCATACAGGACAATCTCTGCTAGAGTACTGTGCATTCACTGGGAAAGTGACATTGACAGGAAAAGTGCCTGGCTTTAGAGTGAGAAAATAAGTTATGTGAATGTTCCACTTAAGAGATATTTACAGCCACAGTTGAAGAATTATGTATTACATAGACCCCATTCTAGTTCTCCATAGATTTAAGGATTTACTAAAAGTGTTTGTGTTAGAATTTTCAAAGTTTAGAAGACTGTCTCAGTTAATAAAAATCTAAATTATAGATGTAAAGGCACTACAGCCTTATGTTTTTAAACAAAATGTTTGACTAAATTTCTAGGTGGTAGTAAATATAACAGTGATTTGAAAAGCTAATTAACTCTTCTAAGTAGATACTTGTTTGAAAAAGTCATTTTAAGTAACTAGAAATATATAATTTTTCATTTGCTGGTAAATTATTTATTGAGAGTACAAATGTATATCAAATGTCCAGATGATCAAAAATGCCAGAATTGTAGATTCCATATTGACAAGTGTTTCACTATAGTTGATCACTGGAATTTTACTAAATTGTGTACTGTGGAGGAAATTATTTTGCAACAAACCCCAGGAGGTTTGGCCCTTATTCAGATGACCTCTTTCTCATCCGTACTCAGCATTTTACATTCTCACACAAATGTAACTAGGAATCTTCAATATTGAACAGCAAAATGTTGCATGTGTACCATTTGAGTCTCCAGGCCTGTTTTTCCCCTTGTCAAATCAGAAATTGTAGTGTTATGTCACAAGCAGCATGTTTGGAGCCATTTCATGGCTCTTATTGTACAAAGTTCACTTTCTGGAAATGATGTCTGTGTTCCTGTTATTTTGTGTTACTAAGGTGATGCCATATATTATAACCCATAATGATTAAGAAATATAGCATTAGGCAGACATGGATCCCAAAAGGCCAATTGGATTGATTGTCTGCAGTACACCTGGTGCTGAACTGAATTCCTAAAATTGTTTATGAATTCAGCTATTCAACAAGAGCCAAGTCTTTGTCAAGCATTGTGCTGGTGCTTAAGTATTTCATTTCACTGTTTCCCAGCAGGGTCAGTATTTTCACCCTCATTTATAATCAATTAAATTAGGATAGGATGGGTTAGGTTGCTGTAGTCATATGGCTAAGTAAAACTGTAACATGGCTAAGCAAGTTTTGAGTTAGAAATTGTAAAATCCATGCTCTTAATGCTCAATTTCCTTCTTTAATTTTTTTGGTGGACACAACATCTTTATTTTTATGTGGTGCTGAGGATCGAACCCAGCACCCTGCGCATGCCAGGCGAGCGCGCAACCGCTTGAGCCACATCCCCAGCCCAACGAATATGTTCTTATATATGACACTGATTATGAGAGAACTAGATGTTTCTTTAACTTTTGGATTGAATTTTTAAATAAAAATAGTTATGTAAATTGAGGATAGACACTTTGCAGCAAAATTACTATGTGTGTGTAAATGTGTGTGTTTTACTTAAAGCTGATGTTTAATTGTGATGTACTTTTTTTTTAATTGTAGAAAGTGACCAAGTTCACTCCTGGACACTAGTTACAAGCCAGGTCCTAGATACTGCCTGGAGAATAGCAAAGGGCTCTGTGATGTTGGCAGTTTCACTGTTGGTGGCCATCCTCTGCTATTTCAGAAGGCTGCATTTATATTTAGAGCACTGGCTGAAATGGTAGGTCATTGTGTCATATTTAAATTTCAAAAATATTTCACTATCCGAAGCATAATTTTGACATTATTATTCCCTTTTATTTTTCAGGTGGATTGGATATCTCCAGAGAAAATTCAAAAGTAAATATTTTATGCAGATTTTTATTTTTTAAAGTGCAGAGAAGGCTCATAAAGGGAGGAGAATGGGAAAATTAACTGCCTTTTATTTTGATTTGGTCCAGGGAACCTCAGTGTGGAGGCGGAAGTTGATTTACTCAGTTATTGTGCAAGAGAATGGAAAGGAGAAACACCCCGTGCCAAACTGATGAGGAAGGTGTGTCTGTTTACAGAGGTTATGGAAGACATAGACTGTCAAAATCAGGAAATATTCCATTCTGCTTTACTGAATCCAGAGATCAACCAATACCAGTGGGATGCAAGTAACAATTGTGGCTGTAATTCAGAAGTCACACAGATGCTAGATGTTGGCATTAGGTCTTTAACCTAAAAATCTGTGCCTTTAAGGAGTTTGGTAAACCAGGTTGTAATGTCAGAAAACCCTTGAGCATTGTTCCATTCTCAGGTCTCTCCTGGCCCGCCTACTAAACGTTTTCATGTGCAACAGAGGGTCTTCTTGAAGGAATCAAGTACCCTCACATCAATATTTTGAGGAGTTTTAGAATTTTCCATTGAATTAATCTTGGCAAATATTCCCAACAATGCTGTCCAATCTTGTCACCAGCAAAAGCAAAAGGAGGGAGGGGTACATTTAAAGTACATTTAGCATGCTCTTAAAAGCATGCAGTAGTTTTGTGATTAGGTTTGTCCAAAATGACCTGCCCTAGACTTCCAGGATTTGTCATCTAGAACAGACTCTAACACATGAGAGTCATTTTAAAATTAAATTACATGCAGTCGTAATCAGAATTTTATCATTGTTTCTGCTGTCCACTTTAACTGGGAGGAATATCTCACTGAAAATAATATTTTCTCAGTATGTCCACTGAATTCACTTTTTTTCTCTTTTTTCTTTTTGGTACTTGCTATTGAACCAGAGGGCACTTTACCATTGAGCCGTATCTTCAGCCCTTTTTTATTGTTTATTTTTATTTTTTTGGTACCAGGGATTGAACTCAAGGGCGCTCAACCACTGAGTCATATCCACAGCCCTATTTTATATTTTATTTAGAGACAGAGTCTCACTGTGTTGCTTAGTTCCTTGCTGTTGCTGAGGCTGGCTTTGAACTCAAAATCCTCCTGTCTTAGTCTCCTGAGCTACTGGGATTATAGGTGTTGCCACTGTGCCTGGTTTTATTTTTTATTTTGAGACAGGGTCTTTCTAAGTTTTGGTGGCTGGCTTCAAACTTGTGATCATCCCATCTCAGCCTCCTGAGTCTCAGAGATTATAGGTGTGGCCCCTGTAGCCAGCTAAATTCACTTTCTTCATTCTGTTATCCAGTGTAATTAATGAAACATTTTTCTTTCTATGCTAATAGGCTTATGAGGAGCTCTTTTGGAGACACCATATTAAATGTGTTCGACAAGTAAAGAGAGATAACTATGATGCTCTAAGATCAGTGTTATTTCAGATATTTAGCCAAGGCCTCTCTTTTCCATCCTGGATGAAAGAAAAAGATATTGTTAAGGTATGTCTTCACACTGGGGACCTGGGAATGTTATGTGGACAGTAACCACAACTCAGAAGCTCCTAGTCTTCTCAGCATGGCTTTGTACTCAGAGCATCATGATATTGAAGGAACTTTGAAAGGCCATTTAATCTAATCCTCTAAGTCAGTTTGAAAATTAACTGTTTCAGAAAGCTAGTCATACTCAATTTTGTTCATCTGTTTCTGGTTTTTTTTTTGTTTTTGTTTTTGTTTTTGGTAGATGGACACAATACCTTCATTTTATTTATTTATTTTTATGTGGTGCTGAAGATTGAACCCAGTGCCTCACATGTGCTAAGCAAGTGCTCTACCACTGAGATACAACCCCAGCCCCTGTTCATTTGTTTTCATTACCCTCGTCTTTTCTTGAGTGAATTTGTCCCTCATAAGTAAGGTGATCTAGTAAAATTCACTTTTTTACTCTGCATTAAATGAGTTTTAACAAATGCATGTAGTGTGTAGTCACCACCCCACAGATTCTCTTGTATACCTTTGAAGTCACTTTTCTTTCCCACTCTAGCACCTGGCAACCTTGATCTGTTTTCTGTCCTTATAATTTTGTCTTTTCCAGCTTGTCATCTGATTGGAGCCATTAGTATTCGTGTTTTGAATCTGACTTCTTTCCCTTAGCAAAATGCATTTGTAGTACATCCATGTTGTTCTGTAAATTTGTGGTTCCTCTCTTGTCATTGTGGAGTGGTGTTCCTTCTTGTGAATGTTACACAGTTTATCCATTCACCTATTGGAAGACATCTGGGTTGTTTCCAGTGCTTGACAACTATTTTAAATATTCTTATACAGATCTTTATGAATATTAGTTTATATTTCCTTGGGCAAGCATCTAGGAATTAGATTGCAAGATGGTTTGGTAAGTATATGTTTAAGTTTATAAGAAATTGCAAAACTATTTTCCAAAGCGACTTGGTTATTTTTCACTCCCACCAGCACTACATGAGTTCCAGTTGCTCCACATTTTCACCAGCATTTGGTATTGTGAGATTTTTGTTTGGTTGGTTTAGTCATTCTAATAGGTATGTACTGGTACCATTGTACTTTTAGTTTGCATTTCCTAGTGAGTAGTAGTGATAGTGGCCATCTTTTAATGTCCCTAATTGCTGTTCATATTATCATCTTGGAAAATCATCTTGTCTATTTAAATCTTTGGGTCATTTTTAATTGGGTTGTTTATTTTCTTATTGTTGAGTTTTGAGAATTCTTTATATTTTATGAGTAGACACACTTTTTGAGCTGTGTAATTTGCAGATATTTTCTCCTATTCTGTGGCTTGTTTTATTGTTTTCTTTTTTTT